CCGGGGAGAGGCGGCTTCGCGGGAGAGCCCCGTCCGCCCGCGGGGGAGGCGAGGGGTGCCCTGCACCCCCCCTTTGACGGCATCGCCGCCTTGCAAGGAGAGGGGCTCCGAAAGGCAGGCTTCCCTAGGCCTGCCTCTCCCTGCTCGCCCTGTCTTGGGGCCAAACGAGGTGGTTTCAGCTTTTTTCTGAGTGAGGCAAGCGCTTTCCTGGCGTCCACGTAAGGTCTGAGAGCGCGTTCACCGGGTGCATCGGCCCTGGCTGCTCTTCCGCGTGTTTCCGTCACTCCGTGTCCGGGTTGGTAACGCATCCACGGCGAAAATGCAAGCTGGGACACAAGTTTTCGGATAATACCCTCTGCTCTGCCGCCTGGACGACTTCGTCTGTCCTCAGTCTCAGAGAAAATAGCACATGGTTGCTGTGGGTGCTGTTGCTATTACCACCGTAATGTTCTGGGTCTTTTCTTTAAGCTACAGGTAGTCACTCCTTTTATGACACAAAATGCCAGGACTGTGGCAAAGCTGCAAATTTTATTATTATTTTGAATGCACCAGAAGGAGTAAGGAATTGAGAGTTTAAGTGGGATTTTTTTGAATTATCAGATTTTGATTAATTGATATAAAATCTCTTCCAAAAGTCTGGTTTTGCTTCAAAATAGTGAACACCTTAAAGTGTTTGTGACGGAAATGAATGACAATTGATGAAATTCAGTCATGAACAGTCAGAGGAGCAGGTTGGTTGCTAAGGTTTTCTTCACTGAAGAGAGAGGGGCTTCGGGACAACCTTTTGACTTTGCTTCTACCACTTCCATACAATCCAGCACTGTGTTCACCTATGATATGAAATTTCATCAGTGCTTTCTACTGAAGGGTAGGAGTGCCAAGTTCTGGAGTAGCAGTCATATTTATCTTGTAAGCAAGCGGTGTGTAAAGGTTTAATAATCCAGTTACTTCACCTGCATCTGACAATTGAGGGCTTTATGGTTGTGCCGATTTCCCTTTTGGTTTGAATGCAGAACGCTAAACGTGTATTGGCACACAGGTCTTTATGAAAGCTGTTGAACGATTGAATAGATGTTGGTTTAGCCTGCATCGTTTGGCAGTGTATCCAAGGGTATGAACGCTGAGATGCGTCTGCTGAAGTAGTGTGAACTACTGGTTGCTATATGGTAGAAAAGCTTCTAGAGAAATTGGTAAAATCCTGGCTGAGTTTTAAAGCCTGTGACTGAAATGGAGTTGAGACAGCGCCCAGTCTTTCTCAGCGGTGTAACAGATTCACCCTCTTCATCTGTTAGTTTGCTCTTCATGTGCCACCTTGTTACTCCTGCTCTGTTGCTGTAAGGAGGCAATTTCACTTATTTCTGTCCTGTCAGTTGTATCATTCTTGTTGTCTTGTCCTCTTTTGTGGGTTACAGAGATACATAGGACAGTTCTACATGAACCACCGCCATGGGAAGGGGATTTGCTACTGGCCTGATGGTTCCAAATTCACAGGAGCTCTTTATCTTGGCCACGTAGAAGGCTATGGTACCCTGGAATGCAATGATGGCAGAAAATTTCAGGTAACTGGAAAAATGCTGTGCTAATACTGCGATTTCCTTGCCTTTCAAAGTCAGCATAAGTACAGGAAAATTTGAGTGTGGATTTTTTTCAAGCAGCTCCCTTAGTGTTTTGGTCCTTCAGAGCAAAATCATCATACTTTGATCTCCAGTGAGCTAGGGCACTCTTTTCAACAGCTTAGCTTCTGCTGAACTCAACTTTTGCATGGGGAATTATTGAAGGAGATGATCATAGAATCCTAGAATCATTTAGGTTGGAAAAGACCCTTAAGATCATCGAGTCCAACCATTAACCTATCACTGCCAAGTCCACCACTAAACCGTGTCCCTAAGCACCACATCTCCCCTTCTTTTAAATCCCCCTAGGGATGGGGACTCAGCCCCTGCCCTGGGCAGCCTGGGCCAGGGCCTGACAGCCCTTTGGGGGAAGAAGTTTTTCCTAATATCCAACCTAAACCTGCCCCGGTGCAGCTTGAGGCCGTTCCCTCTCGTCCCATCGCTTGTTCCTGGGGAGAAGAGACCGACCCCCCCGGCTCCAGCCTCCTTTCAGGCCGTTGCAGAGAGCGATGAGGGCTCCCCTCAGCCTCCTCT